AAGAGCACATTTGAGATGTGCCGTCTTATTAATATTAACGTACCACCAAACTCGCTACGAGTGTCGTCATCGCTTGGGTTATCCCAAAGAGCGAGCGATTTATAGGTCAGGTTTCCATTGTTGAATATCCTGCTATGCATAGATACAGCGCATGAACTTTGGCATGGCATAGTAGATGTTTTACGGTGCTATAGACACAGAAATGACAGTCACGGCGCCAGTGAGAAACGTATTTTGATATAATATTTGGCTAGTGTTTGTTTGTGGCGTCTTTTATTTTGTTACTGTATGCGTTTTACGTAATAGAACATTAAAAATTTGGGCGGCACTGCACGACCGTGCTCAATGGACGAACCGCGCCTGCTTCTAATATTCTAATTATTTCCCCTCTTCACGTTGTGATGTTTAAAAACAATTTTAATTTTAGTAAGTGTTTTACGGCGCTCGCAACTGAATAAGGTCATCTGAGCACGCAGGAGACATTTAATATTTTCAGTTGGTAATAAATTTAGAATTTTGCCTGGATGGCAGCCATAACCTACTCTTATCGATTTTGGACCACCAATGGAAATTAAACGCGCGCAACTTGTAGGCATTGTCGGACAAGGCTAGGTGTAGATCTTTCCTGCTAGAAGATCAGGGGTGGGGCTGAAAGACAGTAGTAAAAAGGAACCAAGGAGTTGCAGTAGACAGGATGCAGAAAGAGTCAGAAGCCCAGAGGAGGGGGCAAAGGAGGTGAGGGGTTGGAGCAGGAAGTGGAGACAAAAGAAGACGACAGAACATTTTTAGAGTGCAGGAAAGGAGGTGAAAGAAGACCATTTTTAGAGAAGAAACATTTCTGTCGCTATCCGGTTTCGAACCGGGGAACTATTGAATGAGGGGCGAACACCTTAACCTCTTGGCCATGCCTTGTGAAGATAGATGAGAGAGAGAGAGAGAGAGAGAGAGAGAGAGAGAGAGAGAGGGGGAGAGAGAGATGTAGAGAGAAAAAGAGACTGATAGAGAGAAAGAGAGAGATAAGTAGAGAGAAAGAGAGACAGTGATAGAGAGAGA